GTGGTACAATTGTTTATAGATATATAAACATATTTATACATATCTACAAGGGGACCATAGTGTCCACCATGACTCCACCCATGGCCATCAGATGAGAGCCATCATTATAATTATTTGTGGTATTTAGAGCCCCTCCAGCCCCCACCAGTGATGAGTAGGTGGGTTCTCTAATTAACAAAATGGGTGGACCTAATGCACCCCACCCCCAACCATGTGCAGCGGGTGCAAGCTCTAACATTGATAAATTCAGGGAAACAAATATCTTTCCCAGCATCCGCCCATGGATGGTTGGAGGGGGGAGGGGCTGTTTCATAATCAATGGGATTAACCTGCTACCTCCTGCCCACACCCATGGGCTTCATGTTGGGGTTATTATATGTGATATGTTATGTACAAATGTGGGGTGAGAAATTTAAAGTGATTTCAAATTGCATCTCAAATTTAGACCAAAATAGCCAAACTTACTTTCAATCAACTAAATTTTCAGTTCATTCATTTTAGCCTAGACATTTAATTGTACTTTTTTTTTTAATTCTTTGAATTTCCAACACTTCACACTTTAGTGAATAATCCTGTGTCTAATGAAGTAAAATCTGAATATTGCCTTTTGGATGCCCATAACCTGTGAGTGTGTAGCCTTTTATTGTATTTCTGTGGTGAATAGACTCACTAGTCATTAGGTCCAGTAATTGAGCCCAGTGAGAATTAGACTCAACTTCAATGCCTTCGTCAGAGATGGGATGTTCTATAAAGAAATCTTACATATGCACTAAAGAGAATATTTGTAATGAAATTCAATGTGAAGTTATTTTAGGCTTAATGCTTTCAAAATAGAAATACATTATCTGATCAACTATCTTGCATGATTTAAATATCTTCCAAGACTATGAGGAGCATTTTAGTATCTATTATAAATCCCAATAGATTTAAATAATGAACCTTTGTTAGTGAGAAATATAGAAAAGTTCTGTTGCTCATAAGGATTTACATGTCTGACCGTAGATAAAAGAAGTCTTCAAAGGATGAATATTTTCAAAATTCTCCAGGGAAACAGGTATTGAACTAATCATACTTGGGTGATATTGAAGGAGCTTAAAATCAGTAAAAGCCTCTGGCAAGAAAAGGGGTTCCTTAAAAATGTCAGTATTATAAAGTAATGATTGACTGCATAGGTAATCACTCTTGTGTATGTTTAAGATATAGCTGATTACATTCAATATAATCATTAACAGAAAAATATTTGAAATATTTGGTTTTATATTATAATTAATCATACCTTTAGTGGATGTCTAGAATTTAAAAGCCTTTATTTTTGGTGTGTCTAACACATATTATTGTGTGTGCACAATCCTTTGTGATAAACTGGGCCAGTAGGTTCTTAAATGTAGGGCTCATATAAATGTGCAAATGTGTTACATTTATCAGATTTGATTATATGAATGAGTAAAATCTGACTACAGGATAATGTGAGTGTACTTCCTCCTTACATAGTGACTACAGGATAATGTGAGTGTATATATTTCCTTACACAGTGAGTATAGGATGATGTGGGCGTACCTCTTTCCTTACATAGTGAGTATAGGATAATGTAACTGTATCTCTAACTTACACAGTGGCTACAGGATAATGTGAGTGAATCTCTTTCCTTACATAGTGCGTATAGGATAATGTGGTTGTACATCTTTGCTTACACTGTACGTCTAGGATAATGTGGGTGTACCTCTTCCTTACATAGTGACTATAGGATAATGTAAATATACCTATTTCCTTACATAGTGACTATAGGATAATGTAAATATACCTATTTCCTTACAAAGTGACTACATGATAATGTGAGTGTACCTCTTTCCTTACTTAGTGACTACAGAATGATGTGAATGTACCTCTTTCCTTACATAGTGACTACATGATAATGTGTGTTAACCTCTTCCTTACATAGTGTGTATAGCATAATGTGGGTGTACATCTTTGCTTATTCAGTGAGTATGGGACAATGTGAGTGTACCTCTTCCCTTACATAGTAAATACAGTATAATGTGAGTGTACCTCTTTCCTTACATAGTGACTACATGATAATGTGTTTTGCGCCAAGTGAAGCCAACTTATTTATGGGCAAATGGGAAGATGAATTTATATGGAATCATTGCCCATTTGGCGCAAAACTGTTCCTATGGCGGAGATATATTGACGACTGTTTTTTTATATGGAAAGGTGACCTGGAGTCCTTAGAAGAATTCAAAATCTATTTGAACAACAACCCATATCATCTCAATTTCACCTTTTTGCAATCTAAAGAACAGATAGAGTTCTTAGATCTCAACATATATATAGAAGGAAAATAATTGCACACCAAGACATTCAAGAAGAATGTGGATTGCAACAGTCTCATGCCTTTCAGCAGCAATCATAGACCTGTATGGTTAAAGAACATCCCTCAAAATCAATTCAGAAGAATTAGAAGGAATTGTTCAAAAACCGATATGTGTAGAACACAGATGGAACAGATGAAGAAGAGATTCATCACAAAAGGATATCCCACTACACTCTTGGGAGAAGCTCTTGAGAAAACATTAACTATCCCACAAGAAGATACATAGTTACATAGCTGAAAAGAGACTTGCGTCCATCAAGTTCAGCCTTCCTCACAAATGTTGTTGCTGTTGATTCAAAAGAAGGCAAAAAACCTGGTCTGAAGCGCTTCCAATTTTGCCACAAACTAGGAAAAAATTCCTTCTTGATCCCAAAATACCTTACGGAATAATATTAAATTAACACAGATATCAAATAAGACTCCAGCCTTTATTACACAATACAACACCCAGTCGCAGACTATAAAGAGAATACTTCAGAAGCTCTTGAGAAAACATTAACTATCCCATGAGAAGATACCTTACGGAATAATATTAAATTAACACAGATATCCAATAAGACTCCAGCCTTTATTACACAATACAACACCCAGTCGAAGACTATACAGAGAATACGTAAGAGACTACTTAAGAAGTGATCCAACTGTAACACAACTTATTGAGGAGAAACCACAAATCATCTACACACGGGCACCCAATCTAAAGTTAATGTTAGCCCCCACTATTAGATCGGAGAGGACCAGAGAAGAACAAGGGAATATGAAAGGTTTTACGAGATGTCAAAAGTGTGCAGGTTGCAAAAACAATCCGACGACAGCAATCAAGAGCACTACATTTATATCACTTAATGACTTGAAAGAACACAAGATAAGAACAAACATGAATTGCAATACTTCGGGAGTAATATACCTTATTACATGCCCATGCCAGAAATAATATGTTGGACGGACTAAAAGATAGCTTAAAATCAGAATTGGAGAACACATTCGAAATATTAAAAAAGGTCTTATGACTCATGATCTATTGAAACATTTTAAAGAAATGCACGGAGGAGACCCAGCATGGCTGACATTTATATCTATAGAAAAAGTTAATATACATTGGAGGGGAGGAAGCATAGATATTAACCTCGATCAAACTGAGGCAAAATGGATATTCTCTCTGAATACTTTAGTCCCTTATGGCCTCATTGTTGATTTTGAGCTCAACGCATTTTTATAGCTTATTCATTTTCATTTTTATAGATTATCCATTATTGTAATTCCCCTGTTTTATCCAACTATTAATTAAGTTTTTAGGTTAGATCTTCCCCCTTTTTTCCCCAATAGATATTTTTACGATATTGACATATATGAATTTTAGGTCTGTATTTTAGATATATTTATGTTACTTTATAACAGATGTAGAGTTGTTTGTATATATTTATATTTTTTTATATTATAGTCCAATTGCAGATATCTTATTACTTCTTTTACATTTTCTTTTATACTTTCCTTTGTACTTGCTTAGTCATTTACGTATTCTTTTAGGTTATAGCCTCTTCCCCTTCTTTTTTTAATAATTAGACACTTTTAGGCAGTATTTCATGACATTGTTATATACGGAGTTCTAAATAATCTCGGATGTATCTTTAAGGCTTAGTTTCAGGGGATGTAGGTGCGGTCCAATTGAAGTTTTTACCCTTATCTGATTGAGGCTCCGATTTATTAATTCTCCTCTATAGATTCTTTATAACATTAGGATTTCTCCCATCCTATATAATATTGATTTTTTTCTTCATATCTTCTATATATTGGTTATATGCATGGCTCACATATTATATTCATCATGGATACAGAATAGGAGACACACAAACCCATACATATGAATATGTGAATGTTAATGGTTAAAATGTCTCCCCACCGTGTTATATTGCCTACATTTATATCTCGTTTCAGAAAAACCAACACATCCTTCGTTGCAAAATATATATATATTTTTTACTTATTACTAATTTATCATTCTTATGTAAATTCTTTACTTTTATTTGCAGAAATAATTTTTATATTGCGAGGAAATGACTTTTTAGGGGTTAATTTTAAAATCATGTCATTCATAAGAAGTTATCAAGTGCACATTTAAGTAATATTATTTCATCTCACCCATTATTGGAGGTATACAATGTTGCTGACTGAGTCTTGAAAACGATACACATTTATGATGTAATACCCTGTATAAAACAGATTATGTAAAGCTACAACATAGATTTATTATTGGAGGTCTGTAATGTGACTATTTAAGGAAAGCGATATATAATTAATGTGAAGCAAAAGTAAAGTGCTATATATATATATATCAATAAAACAATATTTTTAATCTAAGCAATATTTTTAATTTTAAAAAATAGATTATGCGAAATCATGATGCAGTTCTTATTAATTTTTCAGAGTATAAGTGAAAGTTGAAAATCAGTGCAGTTATCATATTATCTAATGTTAGGATCTACTATTTTATCATACAAAATATAGTTAATAAGTGTATAGAAATTCTGACAAGAGACAAATATTTTAAAAGTTTTTATTGTATAAAATCTTTATTGTATAAAATGTAAAAAAATTTTTGTATTTTATTGTATTTCTGTTTTTTGATATACCATAATGTCATAGATGTTTTACATATTCTACTAAAATTAACTTACCTGTTACGAATATTGATTAATTGATCAAACAACTGAGGGATATATAAACATACCCAGATGGAGGTGAACCTATACGTCTCTGAGGAAGTAGGGCTACCCCCTACGAAACGCGTCAGACAGCTCCATAGAATGTCCACACAACAAACAACCAGCCAGGGTATCGACACAAGAACTGATACAGCACCTTGAATTCCAGGCATCCTATCTACATCATCCGGCGAACAGTGTTGATCCCCCGAAGTGAGGCTCGAGGTGGAACACATTGTGGCACGCACGCCGTCCTCACCGGCAATCATAATTTGAAAGAAAGGATTACGAACAACATCCAAATCCATCCGTCCATGGTAATAAGGTTGCTCTGTATCTTTTACCCTGATTTGACTGGGTTATGTAAGGTGGACTTATTTTTAATTATATTTTTAACTATCTTGGAATACATTTGTTTTTTAACTCTCAGTTGTTTTCAGCGATTTTTATTGCTTATAGCAACCAGTTCCATGTACTGGTTTTGCTAGACTGTAACATATATAGCAATTTTTACCTGTCAATTGGTACAGATATAACAATTTTATCTATTTTTGCTACTACCTTTTATTGTTATAAAAGTAGAACATTTAGCAAGGGGCCAACTTGCCCTGGGAAATTCCCTCCTTCCAGGTTCAAGGATTCTTATGGCATTCATATAATTTATTATATTGAACACTTAAGAGATCTGTATGCATTTCGTATTTTATATCCACTGAACCTCAGTGTATTTCTTAACTAAGTTTTATTACCACATTCACTCTCTTTGTAAGCTCCTGGATATTTGTTGCTATTTTTATAGTTTACATATTGATATATACATGATAATGTGTGTTAGCCTCTTCCTTACATAGTGTGTATAGGATAATGTGGGTGTACATCTTTGCATACTCAGTGAGTATTGGACAATGTGGGTGTACCTCTTCCCTTACATAGTAAATACAGGATAATGTGAGTGTACCTCTTTCCTTACAAAGTGACTACAGAATGATGTGTGTACCTCTTTCCTTACATAGTGACTACATGATAATGTGTGTCAACCTCTATCTTACATAGTGTGTATAGGATAGTGTGCGTGTACATCTTTGCTTACTCAGTGAGTATTGGACAATGTGGGTGTACCTCTTCCCTTACATAGTAAATACAGGATAATGTGAGTGTACCTCTTTCCTTACATAGTAAATACAGGATAATGTGAGTGTACCTCTTTCCTTACATAGTAAATACAGGATAATGTGAGTGTACCTCTTTCCTTACATAGTGACTACAGGATAATGTAAATATACATATTTCCTTGCACAGTGACTACAGGATAATGTGGGTTAACATCTTCTTTACATAGTGACTACGGGATAATGTAAATGTACCTCTTTGCTTACACAGTGAGTATAGGATAATGTGGATGTACATCTTTGCTTACCTAGTGACTACAGGATGATGTGGGTGTACCTCTTTGCTTACACAGTAAGTATAGGATAATTTGGGTTGACCTCTTTCCTCACCTAGTGACTACAGGATAATGTGGTTGTACCTCTTTCCTTACATAGTGACTACAGGATAATGTGGTTGTACCTCTTTCCTTACATAGTGACTACAGGATAATGTGAGTGTACCTCTTTCCTTACATAGTGACTACAGGATAATGTGGGTTAACATCTTCTTCACATAGTGACTACAGGATAATGTGAGTGTACCTATTTTCTTACATAGTGACTAAAGGATATTGTGTGTCTACCGATATCCTGAAACCTATTTAATGTACACTGCTAAAAAAAATAAAGGGAACACAAAAATAACACATCCTAGATCTGAATGAATTAAATATTCTTCTGAAATACTTTGTTCTTTACATAGTTGAATGTGCACAAAATCACACAAAAATGGATTTGGAGTCACACTCAAAATTAAAGTTGAAAAACACACTACAGGCTGATCCAACTTTGATGTAATGTCCTTAAAACAAATCAAAATGAGGCTCAGTAATGCCTGTATGACCTCCCTACAATGCCTGTGCATGCTCCTGATGAGGTGGCGGACGGTCTCCTGGGGGATCTCCTCCCAGACCTGGACTAAAGTATCTGACAACTCCTGGACAGTCTGTGGTGCAACGTGACATTGGTGGATGGAGCAAGACATGATGTTCCAGATGTGCTCAATTGGATTCAGGTCTGGGGAACGGGCGGGCCAGTCCATAGCATCAATGCCTTCGTCTTGCAGGAACTGCTGACACACTCCAGGCACATGAGGTCTAGCATTGTCTTGCATTAGGAGGAACCCAGGGCCAACTGCACCAGCATATGGTCTCACAAGGGGTCTCAGGATCTCATCTCGGTACCTAATGGCAGTCAGGCTACCTCCTGCGAGCACATGGCCCCCCAAAGAAATGCCACCCCACACCATTACTGACCCACTGCCAAACCGGTCATGCTGGAGGATGTTGCAGGCACCAGAACATTCTACACGGCGTCTCCAGACTCTGTCACGTCTGTCACATGTGCTCAGTGTAAACCTGCTTTCAACTGTGAAGAGCACAGGGCACCAGTGGCGAATTTGCCAATCTTGGTGTTCTCTGGCAAATGCCAAACATCCTGCACGGTGTTGGGCTGTAAGCACAATCCCTACCTGTGGACATTGGGCCCTCATACCACCCTCATGGAGTCTGTTTCTGAGCATTTGAACAGACACATGCACATTTGTGGCCTGCTGGAGGCCATTTTGTAGGGCTCTGGCAGCGCTTCTCCTGTTCCTCCTTGCAAAAAGGCAGAGGTAGCGGTCCTGCTGCTGGGTTGTTGCCCTCCTACGGCCTCCTCCACGTCTCCTGATGTACTGGCCTGTCTCCAGGTAGTGCCTCCATGCTCTGGACACTACGCTGACAAACACAGCAAACCTTCTTGCCACAACTCGCATTGATGTGCCATCCTGGATGAGCTGCACTACCTCAGCCACTTGTGTGGGTTGTAGACTCCGTCTCACGCTACCACTAGAGTGAAAGCACTGCCAGCATTCAAAAGTGACCAAAACATCAGCCAGGAAGCATAGGAACTGAGAAGTGGTCTGTCACTTGATTGTCACTCAGTGTTGCTTCCTAAGTGGACAGTTTGATGTCACAGAAGAGTGATTGACTTGGAGTTCCATTGTGTTGTTTAAGTGTTCCCTTTTTTTTTTTTGAGCAGTGTCCAACTCAAAGTGAATGGAGTGGAGAAAGAGAGGAGGTCATTTACTGGACCCTTCCTGACTTTATTGGGGCTCTCTTTTATAAAAATGTTAAGATATGAAAACCCTTAGCAAATGTTTTTTGTTTTTTTTTACTGTTTACAGCTGAAAACAGTGACCAAGTGCCACTGTTGGTTACATTTTATAGACTTACACCTGCCATTCTTCTAGAGTAATTGCACTCTTTTTAGTGTAAGAAAATAGATCCACTGGCTAAGCTCAGTTATGCTGGGAAACTAGCCTGTGATAGTAAATAACACCTATCTTTAAATTGACCTCCAAGCATAAAGCATTTTAGCAGCATCATGACTGTTTACGTCACTTAGTTATCAAAGTGATTTATTATATCCTGGTGATATTTTTAGAAAACTGATATTGCTAAAATGGCATTGAGTTTGTTAGAAATATTCATTAATAATGCATTTGACCAATTTAATTTAAAATTGTGAAAATCAATATAATTTTTTAATTTATTTGTTTAGGTATTTTAAACATATTGTGTATTAGCTATGCATTCCACGTGTCATACTGTTTTTTTAAGAAAAAGAAAATGAACCCGGTAGTGAAGTTGTTAAACATGGATGTGCATTGTTTGTCATTGTACAATATTGTGTGAATGACAATCTGAGCAAAAATTATCCAAATTTGTCAAAAACATGTGGAAATAGCACAAACTAACCCAGTGAAATCTCTTTTTTTTTTGCATATTTGTTTATTAATGGAAAATTATTTTGAATTAATTTTGAAAGTTAATGATATGGGAAAAAAAATCATTACTAATCCTAAATATCCCATAATGGTATGGTTTTAGTTTAAATGTAATAAAAACATTATAGACATGTAAAATCTGAAGTCAGATTAAAATCAGCCTTCCTAGCACGCTGAAACTTTTTTTGCATTTGCCTTAAATCCACAAGACCCAATTTGATCTTATTTTATATTCAGCATATCTGAGTGCTTACCACAAGCAATTTTAATTCCCTTACCACTTATTTTGGGAGAATATTCAGTGTAGTTTCTAAGTGGTCAATAAAATATTACTTAGTCTCTCAGCTAGCTTCAGAAAATTACTGCTTGATAAAATATATTTTGTTCCCTCTGAAATTAGCTTCCTTGAAGTTCTTTGATAAATGCTCTAATTGCACATCTTCCTATAACCTATGGGTTAATAGATATATTCGACTCAGGACCTCCATTGGTGCTGTGAGTCTCCACTTGTCCTACACAGTAAAGTTTTCTACAAGCAGTATGCATTGCTGGCCCAGATTAAACTTTGATGGGAATTTGTGACAAAGGTGTTAGCGTGTAGTTAAAGGAACACTGTAGCTTAGCAATACATATCTGTATTCCTATAGCTATAGCCCTGATGCTTCTTACCAATTAGGTCTTTCCCGAGGGTAAAACTAAAAAAATTAAGAAAAACAAAATAAAACGCAAAACTCACCTTTTCTCTAGTACCGAGTCTCCCTCGGTGCTGCCGCAGCCTCCTTCTCGAATTATGTCATTCTAGAGGCTACCTCCAGGATGACGGGCAAATCTTCATAAACGAGAATTCTGTACTGTAGGCGCATGCATGGCGATAGCCGATATGTGCCTACGATTCATCCGTAGAGAATCATTGTATTCAATTACTTTCTATGGCTGGACATGATAGCACTGGGCATGTGCGTGTGATGTCACAGTATGTTATAGTATGAGAGCTGAGAAGTAAGATTCCCGACTGTGGGTAAGTAATAAAAAAAGTTGCATCTGGATTGCCAAAGACTGTTCCATATAAAAACAGGAGCATGAGATACGAGAAGTCCTACAAAATGGAAAGCTCCACTCTGATTCCGATAGGCAGTTCTGCAAATCTGCCCTAAGCACATAGATCTCAAGGAGGTCAATACCAATGGTTACACAGTAGGTTCATCCAACATGGCTTCTCTAGTTTGCTGAAATACATTTAAGTTTGTTTTGAAGGAATTTTTATATTTCTGCTTTGCGTTTT